CTGTCTGAACCAACCATTTACTGTATACGTGCATTCAAGCGCTGGGCGTCTCCAAGTCAGAGCTGAGTATGCCAGTGCGTCTCCAGCAGTTTCTCACAGTGGAAATGATGTCATCCATTTCAATGCCAAACGATTCAAGTGTTCGAATTTTGAAAAAGTCATCACCTTCCGATATGGTTGGATAATATAAAGTTTCAAAAATTATCAAGTTTACCCCGTTTCGTTTAAGGGGGGAGATCAGTACATAATAAACATAATGCAACAAATTAATAATACTTTCAAGGCTTTGATAATTATATACATAATACGTATAAATAAAACCTTGTTGTGCGTAATCCCTTCGTGCCGTCGACCAATGCCCAAATGGTTCAAAGCATGGTTGTGGCTTAGGTCCATGGTCGAGATGAACACGCGACCACTTACGCTGACATGAAACGGACACGCGTCGTGTTTACAGGCCCACTTAGCGGCAGAGCTAGATCGACGGAGCTGCATGATACCAAAGCCGTGGGATAGCGCAATGTCATCGAGTGACTTTCGGAGGAACTCGAGCGTACCGAAATCAAACTCGGATTTGACGTTTACGATGCTGGATGGGATTTAGTCTGGAATTGCAGGGGGTGGCACTGTAAGGTGAAGCTCCACGGCCATGTTGAGGTAGTCTTCGCTGACATATAATTCCATGACAAGTGCAAATGGGGACGACAACCACGAATGCATCACTTCCGCATAAATATCCTTATCCGGTTGTATTGAATAGGGCAATTATCTGCGAGTAGTGTAATTCCCTCATTGAAACAGTAGTACTGTTTAATTAGGGAATTGTTCTATCGATAATGGCCAAAATGACAATTTTTGTTTTTTCATTTTTCGTTTTTAATTTGTGTTCTCAGCACGATGTTTTGGACCAAAACGTGAGTAATGCGGAGTTAAGCGAGAACTAAATGTACTGTAACGAACCTATAATTCCCCTATAAGCATATGGTTGTTTCGCAATCTCTGCTGAAGTCAATGTCCTTTCTGGTAGTAAAACAGCTGGGGTGTCGACGCTGTCATACAATTTTCCATATCATACTTTCTTAGGAAATCTCGAAAGTACTACGTAGTACTTCCTTTGCGATATTTTCATCGTTTTCGCTGACATGTCTCGAGAGACACCTCCATTTTGAGGATGTAGTTCATTTCACCCAAGTCCTTCGTCTTAAACCTTTTGCCTAACTCCTCTTTAACCTGAACCATGTTCTGTATGTGCTTGGTCATTATCAATCGTATCATCTCCCACCTTTTTGACATATATACTGTACTCTTTGAAGCACCGAGTAAATCCCATTGATGTCAAAAACTCATGCAACATTGTGTACCAAATCCTTGGTGCCTGCTTAAGCCCATATATGCTTTTTAACAGGTCACATACAAAGGATTCCCTCCCTGACTTTGCATAACCTGGAGGTTGTCGCATATATATTCGAGTTTCCTCCAGCATATTTCCATTTTGGAATGCAGTTTGCACATCCATTTGATGAATATGTACATTCAATACTAAACCAATCACTAAAACAA